GCTGGCAGGAATTTGACGGCGGATAGGGGGCAAAACGAGCATCAGAAACCCATATTTATTTACTCAGTTTATCATGTTTTCAATAATCGTAGGAAATGTTCGGGGTTTGTACGGATTTGTTGAACCATTTTGTTTTCACTGTGATGTCAAGAAGGCTATTGTTATTTATTTCACTTTAATGCGCTTTGTCAAGGAGTTATTTGCTTTATTATCTGGGTTGTCCAAGGATGTTGTGCCTGGCTACTTTGGGCAAAGTTTTTCAACTACAGTGTATATATGGATTGGAGAGTGGAATGTCAATGGATTTCCTCGGCATGTTTACTAGTAATGTCTGAAATATTATAATTCATTAAAGTATAGTCAGGTATATTGTAACAGTTGTGAAGATGTATTCTCTCAAACTCTCTCAGCATTCACATTATGACATTATTAATTATTATAAGAGCTAAATAGCTGATAAATAGTGTATTGGCTGCCTCCATCCCTTCCTTTCTGTGATGGATTGTCACCCTTGGTCCCTTTATACCCAATGACTCTTCACAGCTGTTGCAAACATATCAAAACATTGTTAAGATAATTGGTAATTCTTAAAATGCCCATGCATAACTGGTCATTGCTACCAAAATCATTTCTACCTATGTCTCCAAAATTATCAGCATGTATGTACCATTATTACATGTATTTATACTGTTACTGTGGCAATGACCAACAAGTAATGGGAATTGCCAAATAGTTGTCCATTTTATGATGTCAGATTATGTTTCTCTGATGACTGGTTTTCTATAAATACCCAGATAGCAAAGGAAACAACTCAAATATTTTAGTGAAGTGAAAGTTAAAAATATAATTTCTCTTTGCAATATTGGTGTTGGAATTTTGAAATGAGTCAACCCTGAACCAAGTGTTGTAGGTTTTCTCTGGGTACTACGGTTTACTTACACGGGAAGAAAAATCTGTTTGAAAAAGGTGTCCACTTTCATGACCATTTGACTGGCACTGCATGCATTTATTGTTGACCTACAGACAAGGGATTCAAAGCAATACATTTTGCCAGAAGTGATTATTTGCACATTCAGCTTTTTAGTTTCTTATCTCAATCAATCTGCAGGCAAAAATCATTGCATACAACACAAATATAATGATGTGGACATCAACTGATATCTTGTTTTTTTTAAAGAAATACAATGGTTTACATAGGTTATGATAATTATGGTTAGGTAAAAATAATACTATATACAAATTAGCATAATATATCTAACCCAGAATAAGAACATCTATACAAAGTGAGAGGTGCAACTTTAAATAATAACAACATAGTGTTGATATATGCTAATTTGTAGATGTATATGTAGTTTTCTGTATAATTGTATTAATATATTCTATATTGTTATTAATATTTTTTGTATATACTTTGTTATGACCAAATGCATCTGATTGGTTTAATTTTTGTCACATGATCATAAAAGCTCGTGTAATTTTCCAGACCCCGCAACAAACTTCCCGACGAAGGGCCTTCGCTCGAAACATTGTCCTTGTATTTTTCAGGTAGTTACATCCCTACCAAACAGGGGCGAAACTTGAGTTGGGGGGGGGGGTGTTCAGGGGGTGGTCCAGAAAAATTTTCCACCCCCTCACCACCCACCCACCCCTGTTCGCCAGCATTTTGGGGAAACAGTGGCCAGAAATGAAAATTTGCTGCAGGGCATCATCGGTTTGGGCAGGGCAATTCTGGCAGACACCCCCGAATTAAAAGGGGATAGCTTCGCCCCTGCTACCTAACAAAGCTTCAAATGAAGATAGTTCTATGTTACTACCATGCACTGTGTGTGGCATAATAAATACACTTAGCACTTTACTGGGAATCTTTAAACTCCTGTGTTTTGTGACTAAAACTATTTGTAGATTAATTTTGCCACTTGAGATAAATCCTGATCACCAGGATCGACAGACTGTGCACGTTAAACAGTTACTGTTAGGCTGGCTACAATTTGCTGCTCTTGTCACATGAACATTTCTTGGTTGTTTGCTATTAAAACCACTTTCGTCCTTGCTATTGAATTTTTGAACCTAAATCATTAGCTGTAGGAAAAGAAAATTAAAAGGGAGGTTTAATCATTAGTTAGATTGATATGTGAGAGGTCTTAGACTTTTACATCAAAATTATTGAGTGGAACTTTATAAACATTTATTAGACCTAATCAGGAATGACAGTGAGAAAAGCAACTATAGGTCACTGGCAGGAATTGAACCTGCAGCCATGCTGCAGTGCTGGACTAAGGCCTGTTCATGCATTACTGTATATTACATATATACTAATTAAGGTACTATATATACAATTATATCATACTAAAAAGGTACTGCCATGACCCTAACCCATAAGAGAGCTCGACAACTGGCCTCTGTCAGTTAGAGTGCTGCACTGGAATCGCAGGTCTAATTCTGGCCAGGGACCTACAGTTGCCTTTTTTCACAGCTGTTCCTTGTTTTGGAATAATAAGTGTCTATAAATTTCCACTCGACAATTTCCATGTCCAAGACCCTTCAACTATTATAATGAGTGGGATGCCAACAGAATCTCTTAGAATAATATATAGGCCTAGTGTCCTAAACAACTGAGCTACTGTACAGAGTCCAAATGTCGAGCTCTAACCACAAGTATATATACTGGTTACTGCCTTGTCAAGGTATCAGTAAATATTAATATGTTTTAAAGGTTATAGGTTTCAATTTTGGTATTTAGCGATACTAACACAGCAGTACCCAAGTATACACACATGAATTCCAGCTTGACAACTGGACTCTGTAGCTCAGTTTTGTTGGTTAGAATGCTGCAATTGCACCAGGATTGCAGGGCTGCAGGGGCGATTCCAGCAGAGGACACAATAATATTCAAAGTGTGTGAGCAACTAGCAGTCGGGATGTACCTTTCATATACCATGCTACTTTCTGGGAGTTTATTAATTTTGTCTACCACAGTACTTATTGAACTTGAAGCTCACAATTGGGTTGGCTTTAAATATTACGAAAGTCACCGAACTGTGGAATCGCATAAAAAATTCGTATATCGACCACTCGCACAAACGTCTACGACCGCGCCTACATAGTTTTGCACGTTTACAATTCTAATTTTAAACAGCCAATTACCAAGAACCTGATTGGCTGTTCAAAATTAGAATTGTAAACATGCAAAACTATGTAGTCGAATGTAGGCGTGGTCGTAGACGTTTGTGGGAGTGGTCGATATACGAATTTTTGATGCGATTCCACAGTTCGGTGATTTTCGTAATAGTATACAGTTTATAGTTTAATAATTAAAAATAGATATGCAATAAGTGATATAAAACAAACTATTATCTAGTCTAATGGGTTAGCATATTTGCAAAATTGTAAAGCACCTTACAGCAACACTTCTAAGTGTTAAGGTGCTTTACAATTTTGCAAATATGCTAACCCATTAGACTAGATAATAGTTTGTTTTATATCACTTATTGCATATCTATTTTTAATTATTAAACTATAAACTGTATACTATTTAAAGCCAACCCAATTGTGAGCTTCAAGTTCAATAAGTACTGTGGTAGACAAAAATTGTGCGCGAATATAAATTTATCATCATGACAAAAATAAACCTGTGTATAGTACGACCAAGATGGGCTCAGTTCATAATATGAAGATATATATTGAATAAAAGATCATGATAAATCAGAAACTCGATTACAAAAAATACAAGAGATATGTAAAACCTTTCTTACCTTGGAATCTAATCGCTTAATCTCCTGAGCTGTACATAGTGCATTTTTGTTCTCCTCTTCAACTGCCAACAGCCTAACTGTGTCTTTCGCATATACTTTCCAACATCGAATATTTTATTGCGTGCATGCCTTTGTAAAAGGTATAATATTATCTTTTCTAGCACATTTTGTCAAAAACAAAAAACATACGATTTTTAATAGGTATCTTGACTTGTATTGGATTCAAAAATAAAATGAAAATAACACTGTAGAAAGAATCCTATACAAGCCGAAGTTGTTGCATTTTGACAACATGATGCGAAAGTCGCCATTTCCCTCAAATGCCCCGAACAACAAGCGCTCCTGTGGCAAAACGTTCCGCGTAACGATGGTAATCTTGATATCATTTTGATCCCCGAGACACGCTCCGTTTCCCTGTTTACCTTAAATAACCCTCAAGGAAAACGCGCACAAGCACGCGCTCGTGGAATTTGAGGAATTTTTCAATTATCAAATTCGCTACCAAGCTCCCAAAATTGTCGCGCGGCAACGAAAAAAAATGACACATTTTAATGTGCAATTTCGCGTGCAAAAATGCCAGGCGTGAACTGTGTGCTGGGGTGGTAAAAGCGTCTGGGCTTCATGAAAAGTCTCCTGCCCAGCATGGAGCAGACATGTCAGTTATTGAAAGCATGGATGTGATAGCGTCAGCATTTTTAGATGATAACGGAGAATACAAAGAAATTGAGTGCGTTAGAGTGGATGGCGCGACAGACGAAGGCCGTTCTCATGCTGAAGTGCAATTTATCTGGTGCGAGCGCCATGTAAACAGGAAAACAAAGGTAACACTTGTAACAACTCGGTGTATCGGGGATAGTTATTTAAATCGCGTCGAACTGCAAAATGGATGTTTAAGTCGTGGACACTCGAACACATTCATTCCGTCTACTTTACATGGTGTGCCTTATTCAGAAAATGGGGAATTTGATAAGAAATTACATGGAAAGAACATGTCTGCTGCCTTGGATCAGTACATTAGTCGAGTTGATGGCACTCCATGTATGAAGACTGTAATCCATTTGGCAAGAGGTGCCGAAAACCATGATTTTGTGTCACGGAGAAGTAAGCTTATGGTGTTTATTAAAGGAAATAAAACGGAAAAGCAAAATTTGCAGAAGGAAGACCCTACATTATTTAAATATTTCTCGGAAATTTGGAAAGTACGTGATAATCACATGGATAAAAGCTTGCCTGAAAAATATGTTTTTATGCTGAGGTGTTGTGGTAAATCCACGTTTAATCCCACATCCACGGTGTCAGGAAGGTACAGTGCGATTGAAAATTAATACAGGCAATTTCAGGAATTTTACTTGAGTCATAGCGAATCTTTATCTTTCGTTCTCTATAGAATCCCGAAGACAAAATCCTGTAGTGGGTACGTCATTTGCAGGCAGTTTTTGTTTCTGTGGTTTCTCTGAAGGGAATAAAAGGTAAATTTTCCTCTGTTTTACCATGTTAGAATCACAGGATTGCCATCCCTTTAACTATTTATTCAGCTGATGAGATTTGGGGTCCACCAGCTTTTTTCCTAGTCGTCCCAAAAACACTGCTATCACGTTTCCTAGTCCATTCATTTTTAACATTTATTATTGTATTATTTTTTATTATTAATGTTTAATAAAACATCATGCATTGCATAAAATGCACTGCATAAAATGCACTTTTTAACTTGATTTTTAGCTTTATGATTTGCTGTGATCAGTGTGGTCAGTGGTATCATGGAAAATGCATAAATGTCACAGAAGTGGAAGCAGAAACCATTGAAACTTACGTCTTCAATTCCTGCAAAGAACATGGTACAGTATGCAATGTTTGCACAATTTATATTTAACCAAACGTTAAACTAAACATTTCTATGAAAAAATCTGGGGATGGCTGGCCAACAGAAATGTTTTTAAATTTTGAGCTGAGCTTTGTTTTTAAAGGTATAAGAAATCTTCCAATTCTTACAAGCTGGTATCCAGAAGGGCCATCATTCAGTTTTTTCCCATACCCAGTAGTCGATGTTACACGATCATGGGGAAGGATGGACTGCACAAGCTGCGTTGGTGTTTTCTGTGGTCATTATGTTACAGATGTGTCACAGTTACTAAATTTGCATGCAGTTGGTAAAGCCATAAGGTGTCCGCCACCGAGTGAAATTTTAGCAGAATATTATAGAAAATTAAACGATAGATGCGTGGAGGAAGCAGATGTTGACATGCTTGCAAAAAAATGTTTGCTGTCATCAGATGATGTAAAGCTATGGCTTGAGCATTTAACACAGGTGTCAATAAACAGGAAGAGAGGAGCGGAAAAAGCGAAAGCAACAAGAAAAAAGAACAAGGAAAAACTGTCTAATTTAAAGAGGCTGTCAAGTCCGTTCTTGCTCATGCGCGTGTTTTGTTTACATTTTTGTTTCAAACAATAGATCATTTAATTAGAATTCCTATCTCTGGGGCCCACAGATCGGAATTTTAATTAAATTATCTATTGTTTGACACAAAGAATTTTCCACTCCAGTGCATGTCGTCAGTGGAACAAGTCAGACTTGTCAATTAAGAGCATTGCCTCTTATGCAAATTTTAGAAAAGTAATACACTCTAGCTTTCAGGAACAATATTGTTCAATTGAACACTTCTGCATGGAAAAGACTTATTAAAAAATTCAGTATTTGTACAAATTTGGTAGATTTATTTTATTGCATAGCTTAGTGAGGACCATCATGAAAACTACTGGGTGACCAGTAATGGTGTTTTTTACCCTCGGCAAATAAAGTATTTTGACTTTGACTTTGACAAAAAATGTAAACAAAACACGTGCGTGAGCAGAACGGACTAGACAGCCTCTTCAAAATGCCATGGACACTTAAATTCGCGGAGTGTTAGAGTTCAGGCAGACTTTAGGTTTGCAAAATTGAAATTATTTTTCAATAATCCGAGTTTTAGGACCCCATTTACACGGTACCGGACAAATTTAGGTCGGGCTGAAATTCGCCCTTTCTCGCTTGTTTACACGCGAATTCGTCCT